AGCCACTGGAGCAGGAGAGGCAGTTAACATAAGCTGCTGGCCTGATCACACAAACAAACAAAACACACAATGTTACATGACCCATAAAAGTGAACTTTTTACAACCAAGTTTTCATTGCTATGTGTTTGCATAGCACTTTGTCCTTATTTCTTAAACACTGACTGAAACTGTTACCAATTACTCTAATTACAGGTTTAAATAATGCAATTTTCTGAATCCAATACAATTAATCAGTGGCTGCAATACCCAGATTTTAAATCAACCGATCGCCACAAACTCTAGCATGCAAGTCAAGTCCTTAAATATACTGTAATTAATATAAACATGAAACAGTAAGCTAGAACAACAAAGTCATGCAGGTTTGTGTTCTGCTTGTTCAACAGCTTCTGGACAAGCATTGCTACTGGTTGTAGCACCAGGATTAATCAGCAATGTGATTGCCGACTCAAAGCTTTCTGCTCAGCTCTGTGTATGAGGAGCTCAGCCCCACCCTCGTGTAAACACAGGGAGAAATACAGTAGAAAAGCAAAGCAGAACCGACCACATCAGCTCTTCAAGGTCTGCCAAATTATGAGCATGGGAAGCTCCAGGTTACAGTTCTCAAAGTTCCCATGGTGCAACAACACTGAGGGTGGCACAGTGCCTGTAAACCTACCGAACACAATCGGCTGAGGCTCCGTCACCTCCTCTTCAGTTTTCCTTTGGCTTTCTGCCTCCTCCAGTTTGTCCACCTGAGGGCAATAAAAAGAAAAGAGGTTCAGATCAGATATCATTCACTCATTGTACACAATAAAAGAGTGTTATATACATTGTAGGTATATCCTGTCAGCTTTGCAGCCTGATTATACTTAAATCCAAGAATATATTTTGAATGCAAATATCAAAAAGTGTCCTTGTCAAATGAATATAAAACAATGTATTTTCAATAAAAAAGAAAACATTGTACATAAAAGATTATTGCTAGACACCTACAATGTAGTGTTGGCAGTGATATGCCCATTTTATTTAAATGTCAGTTTCTGATTTAATATTTAATGCTTCACTACACGTTTTCATTTCATATTAAATAAATACTGATAAAGAGTAGACAACACAGCAGAATTATCAGACCCACTTCTGAAAGAAAGTACACAGAGTAATTAAAAGTGCAGCTAAGGTGTACCTAAGAGAGGATGCCATGCAGCTTTGGTAAGAATTTCTAAACCAGCTTCCAGTACAAATGTTAAGTCAACAACTAAAGGGTCTGTTCAAACAAATCACAAATAACAAAATAACCACTAGTGTTATTGAAACATGCAAACAGCAACTGCTGAGTCCCACAGCAATTATCACCCCAAAGCAATAGCGTGGGGGGGGCATCTATGCTGCTCAAAGCACAAAAAAAACTCATAAGCAAAATATCTTTCCAGATACAGTGTCCCTGTTAATCATTATCAGTTTTTGACAGGTGTAACCATTTTAGTAGAAAACAGATTCCAGCATAAACTGTTGACAACAAGGTCTGTGGAATATGATGAATAACAAAATAATTATTAAATATTATACACTGATCAGCCATAACATTATGACCACTAACAGGTGAAGTGAATAACAATCTTGTTACGTTGGCACCTGTCAGTGTGTGAGATATATTAGGCAGCAAGTGGACATTCAGTCCTTGAAGTTGATGTATTGGAAGCAGGAAAAAAAAAAACAGGCAAGTGTATAAATCTGATGGCTGACGACAGGGTCAGAGCATCTCCCAGGTCTTGTTGGGTGTTCCTAGTTTGCAGTGGTTAGTACCTACCAACAGTGTCGAAGGAAGGACAGACAGTGAGGCAGCAACAAGTCAATGGATGCCCAAGGCTCACTGATGATGAGGCTGATCTACTGTAGATTCAACTTATAAAATCCTTTTCAAAAGATTCCATTTTGTTTAAATCTTTGTTAAAATGGTTGAAAATGAGAAAAAGATGTACATTGGTCTCTATGAAGAGAAACATTCAGCAGCTATAGGGGTGATATCACACCTAGAGTGGGGAGGCTGTTGAAAGCAGCCAACTTAAATAAAAATAAATAAATAAAAAAAACTTGTTCTAACGATCCAGTTTTCACTCCTTTCACACGTTTTTCACTGAATGGTCGACATCTCTTCCTGATAGTAGAACTATGGAAGCAAACCAATTCACAGAAGATGCACAGTGAACTGCAGAGAGACACGAGCACCAACCACCTGCTGCATTGGCTCCTGTGTACACAATGTTATGCAGGTGGTCATAATGTTATGGCTGATCATTATGTGGAAAGGGTTCGCTTTTGGTTTTTTGATGTCATTTCTGAATATTAGATTCACACCGATGGGACAGTGATAGATACCAAACCACATGATATCTAGATACCACTGGGAAATTTGTGATTTGTATAAACTGACTCTTTAAAAGTAGAACTGTAGTGGGACACAAGGTTAAAGAAATATTACTCTTTATTGAGCAAAGAAGCTCGACATGCCTGTATGCTAACGCTACACTTCCAGCCATTCTCAGTTAACGGTCTCATAATGACAGCTTCCACATGCATCCCATGCACAACTGTACGCAGACTTTTCCTGACAAATTTTCACAGCGTATTTTAAATCAAGCCACATATTAGAGGCTCACAGGTTAAGTTCCTCCCTGCCAGACATACAGTAGTACAGTGAGTTGGTTGTAGTACCAATTTACTAGTGAACAAGTGCGAAGAAATAATAATGAACTAAAAGTCTGAACAAAATAGTGAAGAGATTAAGCAATGTGTAAAGCACTTTTCTCTATATGACTAAGAAATATTAGTGGATAAAAATTATTTCTGAAATGCATATTTGAAATACTGCACGCATCAGTATAAAACCAATATAGGTACAACCTCACTGTCATCTTTTACATACTCAAGTACTTTGAAGTAAAAAGGAGTCTTGAAGTACTGCATTGACTGGCTGATCGATTCTTTCTCAACTAGATTGATGAGTGAGTTATGGAACAAAACACTGTTCTCTGATTAGCCAAAACAAAGTGAAACGTCCCCATGCATAAAAAGAGGGACTCCATAACCTCTGAAGTTAGTGTTTGTATCCCTGCAATCAGCTAAATACCTCAAAGTAAAACTTGTTATCCTTAAGTTAGAAACACAGTTATGCATCTAACAAGCCTGCGGCGACTTGCTCTCTTCATCAGTCTTCGTTTCTGGTTTTTGGGGAGCACTGGTCAGGTGAAAAGATCACTGTCAATAACATGAATCTCATGAAACTGTCAAAATATTAAAATATGCCACTTGATTCTAGATGCAGCCCCAAGAGAGAGGAGTTAGAAGGTAGGAGGTTAGGTCAGGATCCTAAAAACACAAGGTGGTGCACAAGCTTTGGCTCCAGCCATCAACACAGTGTTTAGAGTTAGGTGCTCTCGACTTCATTAACACATAGTAAAGACAACAATAAGTCTCCCCCAGAGGATAATTTAGAAAGTGCTTCCAGTAGATAACCTCAAAATTTATTAAAAATGCATTGTGTTGGTGCTGAAGAGGAACAAAAGCTTGCACACACACTACTACAGTTCTCCAGGACCAGAGCTAGTTAGGCCATACTCAGTCAACAGTCCATGCTAGGTTCCTACGTCAGAAACCTAAGAGATAAGTTACAAGAAACAGACAGACAGAACACACAGGAGAAAAAAAAGAGGGCCAGAGACCATCACCTTCGCTGCAAACTCATCAACCTGGAAAAGAACCCAAAGAGACGACCTCAAGTGACCTCACATGTCTACAGCTTTTAGGAAATTACGATGGCCAGAGAGAGTTCACTGGTAAATACTTATCATTGCTTAAGAAAGCCCATTGTGCGTCATCACATCTGTGTAAACTAAAATCATCAGTATGTTCTTTTATGCCAAATCTCCAGAGATGCTACAGACCTATTGTATACTTCTTACATAAGGACAGGTTTCTACAGGAAATAATGAAGGATAAGGCTGGTCATTTTCAGCAGCGCATTGTCTCTACTCATGGTTAATGTCGGTCAGCTGTCAGTCCTGGATTAGCTTGTTCGTCTTTGAGATAGATCTCAGTCGTTGTTCAAAAGTGATTAAAAACAATGAGGGACACACACCGCTGTACTGGGTGACACGATGTTTTTGTAACGAAACCCTAGACCCCACTATGTTGCCCCAAAGGCTCCAGGTGGCCACAGTGTCCTAAAGTTAACACAAGTCAGGGTCAACTGTGCATGAAAGAGATCTTTCACAAGCTCTCAGCTTGGTTTACAGTCCACCAGCTCCACACACTCGGGTCTGCGGTTTGCTAATGAAGAAAGATGTCACTCAGTGCAGCACTGTGTTTCACGGATGTGTTTTTAATCATTTTTGATCAACAACACGAGTCTATAGCACAGATGAACAAGCTAATCCAGGACTGATGGATGTTAACCATGAGTAAAGGCAATTCATTGTCCGGTCGTGTTGAAAATACTGTTAATATAAAAAAATAACTGGCCTTATCCTTTAAGGAAAATAAAACTAGTTCAGTTTTTTTTTTATACAGTAAGAATACTGAATTTTAAACTTGTTTAAAGAAATATACAATTAAGCTTACTTTTACCTTAAACCAGAAACTAAAAAGCAATAAAAAGCATTAACTCTTTATATTGCTTTTCAGTACTAACCTTTGTGAGGTACTCTCTCATGACCTGAATGAAGTACGGCATGGCAAAGTCCATGATGTTGTTCCTCCAGGCCAGCTCCAGCACCACATCGGGGTGCAGCAGGTCATAGGAGGCAAACAGGCAAGCAGCAAAGCATTCCTTCCTGCCCTCCTCCAGGAACCACTGGAGCAGGGTCTCTGCCAGCTCAGCATCCTTAGACTCTGCAGCGTAGAGCATGGCATCCTGGGAATGATGGAGAAATACAATCAGTGGTGATATGGCTTTTGGTGCAATCATTTTATCGTCCAGTCTTCTTCACCTGATGCTAACTGGTCCATGCATCTATCTCAACATACTTGATATCTATCTAACAATAAACAAACAGTGCCACCTATAGAAACATGGTGGTACTTGACATTTGTGATGAACATTGCTGTACATACAGTATATATATGAATTTTCTGTTTCCCAGATATTGCCCGTGAAGCTTATTTTCTTACCTTGTAGAGTTTGTCCTTCTTGCAGAGCTCTACACTCTGTCTCCAGCGATTGTTGCCTTTGTACAGGTAAGCAGCGATACGTCGGAACTCAATCAGTTCGTGTTTCTCTAACCTCTGAGCCAGGCCAATGGTGTCGAAGTTGTCATAGGCATCAATGGAGGCTCTCAGACCCTGTGGAATACACACACAAATAAATTACATCTTAGATCTAAAAGAAACAGCAGACTCTTAAAAAAAAAAAAAATCATCTGTATCCTAACTGCAGAAGCACATCACATTTCTCCAGAGTTCTTATACAGTACAAAGTGAAACAGTTTTCAAAATACATTGACTGAAGAAGCCGAAATAAACAAGTTACTGGCACATCAGAGATTCAGCTCTTATTCCTCAAGTGTTTATTTTGTCTACTTGCTGTAATGAACATCGGTAAGTGAATGGATGAGAAACCTGGTAGTCTTCCTCCTCTGTCAGGAGGTTGTTGAGCGCTTCATTGACAGACTTGTTGTTATGACTTTGGACAGATCTCAGGTAAGGCTTCACCAACTTCAGCTGGTTCACCTGGTTGAGCAAAATCAGCACATATCATGTCAACCATTTTTTGTCACTGTGTAGTAAAGCTAAAGAATAATGCAAAAAGTATGTACCATCTCATTACCTTGCTAAAAAAGGCGACAGCTCTGCTGTGATCCAACCGTGGAGAGAGAATGGTCAGCAGGTCATTCAGTAGGAGGGGTTTGTATTCCAAGTAGAAGTAAAGAGATTTGTAGTACAACTCCACATTGGCAACCTAAGGACAAAAAATGATGCATATAAAAATCACAAAAAATAAAAATAAAGAAGTTTGTAAATGAAATAAACATAAATGTGTGTTTACCTTAGTAATAATGTCTTTAAACAGTCCTTCTTTCCATGCGTCTGTTGGATGAGACATCATTGTGATAATCGCGTTGTCATACTCCTCGTATTTATCGTAAAGGAAAACCAGCTCTGCCCACAAGTGAGACTGCTCCGCTGCACGAAGAACCTGATAACCAAAACACAGGAAACAGAACATACTGAGGGTTCAGTGTTAAATTTAGGATTCAAAGAGTATTTACTGTGACTGACAACATCTTGCCTGTTAAAATTTAAGGGCTCAAAATTGGGATAAATGAGGGACATCAGATGGCTCTTTTAAAAGATAATTAGGTAATGTTTATTCACAAAAACAAAAAAATAGAGTCGGCCAAAGTAAGAAAAACACTCAACTAGAACAAAACCCTGGAAAGACAGAGGCTACAAAACCTTCAGCTCCTTTACTAATGGTTTTGTCAGTAAAGAAATCATGTTACTGTGACTTGCTTTTAAATACTCTGCATAGCATCTTTAGGCACTTAACTTTTTAAATCAAGTACATTCAAGGTAACAAATCATATCGAAGACTACTCAGCAAGCTTTCAAGGTCTTTTTTCACCTCGATGACAAGGTATTTTTAAAGGTAGGGTTGGCGATTCTTTTCAGAAGCCTTTCTCGTTACAGATCTTGAAATTTTCTTTTCATCCCGATGGCAATGAATACATTTACCGCACTGACAACATAAAATCTGTCATCTCTGGCAGCAGCAGGGCTTTTGCCTGACTAATAATTTTACTCAGCACAAGCAAAAACCACTGAATGGTCTACCTGACTGTCAACCTACCTCCTACTTACATGCACCCTGTCCTTGCACAAGCCAAGAATCTCCCACAAGGCCAGGCAGGCAGACATGTTAATGCTCTGTTGCTAGTTAAAGCTAGCAAGCTATGGCAGAGAAGGTACCCAGAGCAGCTTTTATTCACAAATGGAGACCATTGTTACAGGCCAGGCCTTCATCTTAAAGATATGAAGCCTAATAGGTAATGTTGTTGTTAACAAAAGTTGCTACTTGGTGGAGGAATGTATAGTCCTTTTGATTGATTGATTTATTCTTTCAAACATGCAGAACAGAACAAATGAACAAATGACAACAACACACATAATTACACCTATCCAACCAATGCTAATCCAAAATCAGTTTGCTTACACCTATTACATGTTTGAATGGAGTAGGAAGAAGTCAGACTTATCCAGTCCTACCCCATGACATCATATTATACAAAATTTCATGCATCATTGGCTTTACTTAAAATGAAGATATTGTTGTAGAATTGTTTTGAAATGCACAGACATACTCTACCTTTGGAATGTTTACTCTGGACCAGAACAGCTCCAGGTGTTCCCTCATCTTCTGAGGTTTGAACTTAGAATAGAGGATGGCGAGCTCAGTGAACATGCCCATGTGGGCCCGCTCCAGGCCCAGCGCGGCCTCCAGCAGAGCAATGAGCTCCTCAAAGTATCCGCGGTCCTGATAGTAGCTGATCAGGTCCTCCAGCTCATCAGCGTGAATCACTATGTGGAGGCCACAGATCTGCCTCCTCACCATCCTCACATGCAAAGCATACCTGTTGATCAGAAGGAAAGAGAGGAGAGTTACAGAGAAGAAAGGAAAATTTACTGCACAACGACATTCAGGCGATGTCCTACACCACATCCAGGTTGGCTTCTGATCCACTAGTTGTCACGGGTCTGTGCATTTTCTAATAATTCCATTACAGAGGTGCACTTTGTCACATGTACCCTGTAAATATGATGGCAGGGCAGCACAGAGAGAGACAGGGATTAAATGTGTCGAGCACCTTCTTGAAGCCACTGTAATTTATCATTCAGTGCATATTCTAATGAGCATCTACAACAATACTAGATTATATTAGATTTTGAATATATCTTCATACCATAAAGATATTAGGCTGATAAGTTTACTAACATTTAAAAAAAACTACACCATCCACGAGGCTCTAACAGTGCCTCTGTGGCTAATACCTATTTCACATAACGTGGGATGGAAAACAGTGACAGAAAAGACTCCCACGTTTACAACTTGAGAGCATTCATCTGAAAATGGTGTAAGTTACCTCTTTCCATGTCCGTGTGCTGTTGGCTTTCCTGGCGCTGTCTACAGCTGCCTGGTACTCTCCAAGATGGACTAGTGTTGATGCAAGGCGAGCAAAGTTGGACACATTGTTGTACAAGAGCTTGGCTGCTTCGTACATACCCTCCTCATAGCATCTATCGCCCACCTGGAGAAGGAAAGAGAGGTTATCAGGTACATGTGCAGTTGAACATCCTGGCAAAGAAAATTACAGATGTAACGCTGTTCTTACCTGCTGTATGTGAGCGTTGTTGGGCCCACTGACAAACTCTTCCAGCTCAGCAAGACGGTTCGTCTTCGCCAGAGCAAAGATCAGCTCCGTCTCCACATACGACTCTCTTGCTTTCTTTCGAGCCATCTGGAGGAATTTAACCAAGTCTTCCCAGTTATCTGCAAAACACAAACAGCTTAAAGACCAGCTTAGATCAATCACCGCTTGTGTGTAGCAGAGTGATGCAGCAAAGCAAAACTTACTGTTTTTGCTGGCTGCATTGACAACCTCCATGTATGCTGATGGATCAGCGGCTTTAATATATGAGTCAATGGCTTCCTTGACCAGGTCTCTATGCAGCTGAGCTCTGGCTAATTGGCTCCAGACTGCGGGCTCATTACAGCGCTCAGCAAACTCATAGGCACGATCCAAGTTCCCTATGTGCTCTATCAATACCTAGTGTAATGTAGAAAGGAGAGAGCATATTACATAATCTGACAATGAGGCAAAGCATTAGGAATAAAAGTGACTTTTAACACTTTTAATTTACTATTTATTCATATCAATATGCAGAAGTTTAATCATTTCACTCAACAGTGATTAAGAGATAAACTGAAAAATTTGCAAATTAATTTATCTCAGACCAAAATCAATACTGTTCCATGACAAAAGACGCAACTTCTGCTAGAATATAAACAAAACCGATGCATAAATTAGGACTACATTTTACATATATCTACATTCATATACTACTGAATATCAAATAAAAATATACTGATTAGTACAGCTTGAGCAGTATTACATTTGGTTTACCTGTATGGCGGAGGTGTTGACATCAAACTTCTTGAAAATCGCAAACGCTTCTTCAAACAGCTCGTTGCTGATGGCAATATTAGCAATGTCTGGAGCATCATAGTTGTCCAGTCTGTTAATGTACTCCATCACTCGAGTGCGGTCTGCCTTGATGGCAGTCAAAATCAGCAGGTTCTGCAGGTTTCTAGCAAAACAACCAGAAAAAAGAGATTGTTAAAAAGATAAAGAACGTGGCTAAATTATTATAATGCCTCACGAGCTAGAAGCCTGTCTTACCTGTGTTCACTGAAGACAGAGTTATCAAGTACGATCTTCTCTAGCAGCTCAATCAGCTCATTGGGCAGGTCTGCAGTCATGAAGGCCTTGACTGTGATGGACACCTCCTCAGGGTCTTGGGTCTCTGACAGTGCTGTCTGCACCACCTGAGATGACATACAATTGAAAAAACAAGGTAGAAGACAAAAGCAAGCATTGAAAAATACCACTTATTCACAGCCAGTAGAGGTGGAGACAACCAGACCTGGTCGATGAGTTGTCTTCTGTAAGGATTGTTTTCTTCTAGCACGTTCGCCCAAAGCTCTGGGTCTTTCCGTCGCACCAGGTATCGAGCCTCACTCTTGAATAACGAGTTCTCATTGCACACCTGAGAAGAAAAGATATAAAGTGATTAAAGACTGATCTGTATTAAAATAGTGGTAATGATCATCTAAATGTTACACAATGTGATCTACACACTTTGATGAGGTCCAGGTCACACTGCCCTCTCTCATAAGCCACACAGGCCAGATGGGGGTCTCTCTTCTCGCAGTAGCGTCCGACCACAGCACTGTCGTAAAATGGGTTCTCCTTCAGGAAGCGCTCAGGTGTGTTGTTGCTGTCAATGTAGATCTTGGCCAGGGCATTGTGCGTAGCGGGCTCTTCACATCCTTCATGGATACGGGACTCCAGCCACGGCAGAAGCAGTTTTAACCTGAAGAGGTTATGAGTGTTTCAGAATATTTTTATTAACTAACATGGCACTGCAGTGCCATGAACCTTCTGGTATTAAACCTGAATTATACACTCACTGGCCACTTTATTAGGTTCACCTGTACAATCTGTGTTTATGAAAATGTTTCAGTGTTTGGTGAAATTGTCAAATGTATTCATTCACTTTCTTATTGAGGTCATAGTTAAAGGTGGTGTTATACTGGACTACATTATATTCAGAAGTGTTCCTAATATAATGTAGTCCAGTATAACACCACCTTTATGACCTCAATAATATTTATGACAATTTCACCAGAACTGAAACACTGAGTTTCACAAACAGATGTTAAGGTGGAAGTGTTGCATTGAACTGCATACAATTGTACAAGTGTACCTAATAAAGTGTATTTCTAGGCTGATGTCACTCGAGTTTTGTTGTGTAATGTCCTAACACTAGGTGGCAGTGTTGTGCATTCAGCAACATTTTTTTCAATGTATGTATCATTCATTTTTTTGATACAGAATTATATATAAAAAAACAGGATTTGTACTTCTAATAGCTTAATTAGATAAGAAACATCTGTCAAGAAATACTAAGAAACTGATTATTTTTCAATTAGGTATTTATTTTTTGACTTCTGTGACTTGAATATTACTGGTCTTCTTTTAGCAAGTCCTGTCTTTACTGGACAAATGAAGTGGTTGAAACAAAGCATAAACATGTCTTGCAGTCTACGTGTAGCCTCTATAACTACTACCTCTAGTTACAGTGAGGAACAGAAGTATTTGAACACCCTGCGATTTTGAAGGTTCCCCCACTTAGAAATTATGGAGGGGTCTGAAATTCACATTGTAGGTGCATTCCCACTCAGAGACAGAATTCAAAAACATTTTTCAGGAAATCACATTGTATGATTTTTAAAGAATTTATTTGTCTTGCACTGCTGAACATAAGTATTTGAACACCTGACAAAATCAGTGTTAATATTTGGTACAGAAACCTTTGTTTGCAATTACAGAGGTCAAACGTTTCCTGTAGTTCTTGACCAGGTTTGCACACACTGCAACAGGGATTTTGGCCCACTCCTCCACACAGATCTC